CATGTATCACTTGAAGAGGGGGGAACAGTGGAGAAGGGATGGGTTTAGGGGGGTGCAGGCACAGGGGGAGATGAGGTGTAGATAGAAGTGGGGTAGGGTTCTCCCAGGCTTTCGGCTTCTTATGGTTGCTTCTATTGAGCATTTGTTCTTTCAACTGTACGTTATTTTTATTCACCACGTTATTATCATTATTTACAATTTTGTTATCATTTACAATTTTCATTGTCTAAAAGGGCACAGCTGTCGGTCCATAGGTTTTTTCCACAGCCTCTTATTTTGAGGGCACAGTGTTACGCCTCATGTATAACTGCCAGGTTTCCCAGGCTTGTGACCAAATTTTTTGGGATTGACTTGATCGTCTGGTTGCCTGTTCATAGAGCTTAGTTGTTTCTATCGTTTGTATACATTCTGTTATTGTGGGCGGGATAGTGGATTTCCAGTGTCTACTATTAACAGTTAGTGCAGCCATAAGTATGTGGTAAGTTAAGTATTTCTGGCTACCCTGCATTCCCTTCGGGAAAAGCTGGAGAAGGTAAGTTTCTGGCTTGCGAGGTAAAAGCATTTTTGAGCTGTCTTGTATTATGGTAGTTATGTTGTCCCAGTAGTTTGTTAGGGAGGGGCAGTTCCACCATACATGGAGCATTGTGCCTTTGTGTTGTTGGCATCTCCAACAGAGATCGGAGGCTTGAGGGTATGTTGCTTTTATACGTGTAGGCACTAAGTACCACCTGTATAGGATTTTTCGGGATAGTTCCATGTGGGAGGCGCATTTGGAGAGTGAGTTATGTGCAAGTAGAATTTTATTCCATTGCTGCGCATCGAGAGTATATGTGAGTTCCTTCTCCAATGCTGCAATGAATGATAGTTTTGTGTGGTCTTTTTGAGTGTGTATCATTTGGTATAGTTCGGATATAAGTTTTTTGGGGGTTAATAGGCCCGAGCAAATTTTCTCTGCCACCAGAGGTTGTTAGGTCCGTGAAGCTTCTAAGTGTATGTTCCTCCAGTAGTTGGTGTAGGTGTGTTACCCCATGTCGGTGCCACAGAGTGTAATTAAAATTTGGTATCATATAATGTAATGCTTTAATAGGAGTGGCAGGCGATATTTTGCGATATTTTGTGCGGCAGTATTTGTCCCATATGGACAAAGTTAGAGCTGTGGTTGGGAGCAGTTCGTTTGTTGGTGGCCTGCTGTGTCGAGGGAGCCATGCCAGTATAGTAATGGGTATGTTGTTAGCGTGTTGTGTCTCCAGTTCCATCCATTCGGTTAGGTTGTCCCGGTGACACGCCGCTAATAAGGGATTTAGTCCTCTTTTTTGATACATTGAGAGCGGCAAAAATGTAAACAAAAAACAAAAAAACTGAAACAGGAATTAAAAAGTTACAGACATGGTACAAAACAGATTATACAGCAAATGAGAAACACTATTAAAAAAGGGATATAAAAAGCCCTCAGTCTTAGTGTGCATGTATTTATATTGAATCTTTTATGTATTTTCTATTTTGAAGATTAGTGAATTATTAATCTAAAACCAAAATAAATGAATTTGACAAATGCACCTGGTTACTGATGTTTTCAGTCTATTTTGTCGTAAAATTTGAAATTCACTTTGAATTTCTGACAATTTACACTTTACACCTTGTATGTGTGTATCTCTTTGTAGTGTGAGTGTGAAAGCAGGGTTCAACTTGTGAGCCAGAATACAAGTGTATTCAAGTGCAGTTTAAATGTATGTGCAGTGTCTGTGCAAAAATGCAAGTGTGTGTTTGTGCCTTCCCCTATTTTGTATTTGCTCAAATCTCTCACCCACAGTTTTTGTTTGTCCCAATCCCACTCCAAAATGTGTGCCTCTATCTGCCCCTCCATGATGTGTATTATTCCCCAAATCCCTCCAATAGATTGTTTCTCCCTCCCAGATTTGTGTTCATCTGCAAGCACCCCCATCACTCTGTTTTCTGCTCCATCCCCCTCTCCCCAAATACCTCTAGAGTTGGTACCTGTCCCGTCTCTTCTCGTCATCCACCTCATGACGTCAGCTGTAGCATGCAATACCACACCACCCAACATTTCAAACGGACAGAGGGATACTTTAAATTTAGGGGTGTGAGTGGGTTTGGAGCTGGGGACAGGACAGTTCTGAGAAATTTAGGTGACTTCAAAACAATTTATGTAACTAAACTGTAATTTACAAGGAGAAAATAATTCTAACCACATTCATTGTAGCTTAAAGACACATTACTAGGATTATTATTGCTGTGGAGCCACAACCCCACCGCACCCCTAAAATTAAAGTGACACTCTGTCCATTTAAAATGTTGAGAGATATGCCTGAATTGGCATGGCAGTCAGCTGACCTAACAAGGAATAGCATGATTGGGGGTTCTGCCCTCTCTTGTCTCTATCACATAATTATCCCGGGGGGGGGGGGCTTGCTTCCTCTCACGGTTCCTACACTCCTGCAACGAACCCACTTATACCAATGTAGCATTTAGGATAATGGTTCAGGGGAAACCATGACCACGTAAATATTTCAAAGCATGCCCCACACTATTTATTAAAGATATCCTTGACATAGCGAATCTCTAATAACATTTTTCTTTTCTTTCCAGATGTGATAGCCACGAGAACCTTCCAGTGACACAAAAATCTTTCTACTGGAGTAGTACAGGAGCTCACAGAACTGACAAATTATTAATTATGGGTGATGTCTGTCAAAAAATATAAAATAATTTTCAAATACAAATTTTAATAAAGCTCCTTTGAAATGTGCTGTGTTTTATGGTGAACACCAGAATCTATTAATTTGAAAGTGTGCTTTGTATTTTGCTAATGGTGGGTGCATTTCAGCTCAGGGAGTACTAACAGTTAAATGGATAAATGTGTAAAGAATGTGACATACAATACAAATGTATATAATATGTCTATTGCTGTTGATCAGTTTAGGCTGCTGTTACAGTTGACATTGATTAAATCATTATTAATATAAATATTAAAGAATAGAATTATACTTCCACAAAACTTGTCTTCTTCTGTGCCCTTCATGGCTGACTGCGTACACTGTTGTGACATGCACTAATTCCATTCATTCCCAGCCCATTTGTTTTCCACCAATTCCAAGTCCTTTCTGGCTTAGCACTCTTCCCAATTTTTCAACCCTAAGCTGCCTTCCCTCTCTGTGTACTCAACTCCAAAGTATGTTTTTGTTTCTAAAGAAGAGAGTTACTTGCACACTATCACAAATCCCTATGTATATGTAAATAACTGGATAATTTTCGTATCACTCCAATGGCCATTCGATGTAGGCCCACCTACCACATCAATGCAAACCTCTTAGATGGGTCCTACACTCACAATTCACCTTGCTACCTTTAGCTTCATGTAAAACAAAATATCTCCCGAAACAGAGAGGGATATTGTTCTAAAATCCTACATACTTATTAACCCTTTATAGGGAACACATGAGGTTGGCGGTAGCATTGTAACACGGCTGTGTGATACAAAAGCAAATACAAATACACAAAAATAAGTCCTGCACTCAAACTCCAACTACTCTTGGGTGGCAGCATTACTATTTGGGGATTTGGTTCATGGGGGACCTACAACAGCTATACCACCTTAATTTCCAGCCCTCATTATCTGGACTCCTGACCGATATGATATCCTGGACAGTGCTGTGTTTCTTTTGGACAGGACATATTAATACCATCAAAATGAACATCCTACCCAAGATCCTTTACCTGTTTTAGACAATTCCGATAGTATTAGCAGCATCCAGCAGATTCGTTTGTGAAAAACCGCTTATCGGGGCAAACTTGAAGACATGAAATCAAATCCAAAATGGTATAATGTGAAAAATGACTGGGACATAGCAATACCAGGGTACTCTTTATATAGAAAAGACAGGGAAGGCAAGAAAGGGGGAGGGTTGGCCCTGTATGTGAAGGATAGCATAAAATCCAGCCTAATATAAGTTAGTGAGGCGAACATAGAGTCCGTTTGGGTTACTTTAGAATTTGGATCTCACACATTAACTTGTGTAGGTGTGATTTGTAGGCCCCCAGGACAAATGGAAAAGTTAAATAATCTACTAGTTGAGGAAATAGCTAAAATGACAATGAAGGGGGAAGTTATTATCATGGGTGACTTTAAGCCTCCTGATGTGAACTGGAAAACCAAAATAGCTGCTTGTGTCAGGAGCACATATATTCTAAACTCCCTACTCTGCAGATGTGGCCAAAATAGTAAAAAACAAAAAGTTAGCATTTAGTAATTATAAAAAAAAACAGAGTGAGGAAGATAGACAGATTAGGCAGAAAGAGGCTAAGCAAGGGTGCCACCAGGTAAGGGGGTTGCCATGATCATGGGGATGTATGAGCCGTGCCCCATAGCAGCTCGGTTGCCGGGCGGGTGGCCAGCACAGCTCACAAGTGCAGAGATAAGCAATTACCAGCTGAACTGGCCGCACGGTAGAAAAGTGGGAGCAAGCTAAGAAAAGTTGGGGAAGAGCCAAACCGGCAGTGCCAGTAACACGGCCCTTACCAGCTGCTGTTACTGCTGCACATGGACGTGCATACACATACAGACTCCAAGGATGGACTTCAGTGAATCCACCCCTCCTCAAGCCCACTGTCTGTAAGTAAGAGTGTGTGTGTGTGTGTGTGTGTGTGTGTGTAACTGTTTGCCTGCCTATAACTGTGTGTGTGTGAGACTGTCTGCCTGCCTGTAAGTGTGCGTATGTGTGTGACTGACTGTCTGCCTGCCTGTAAATGTGTGTGTGACTGTCTGCCTGTAACCATGTGTGTGTGACTACCTGTGACTGTGTGTAACTGTCTGCCTGTGACTGTGTGTGATGGTCTGCCTGTGATTGTGTGTTGCTACCTGTAACTGTGTTTGTGTGTGTGTGTGTGCGTGTGTGTGTGACTATCTGCCTGTAAATGGGTGTGTGGAATGCAGGAGTTTTGTAGAAGGAACTGACAGGGGTGTAGAAAAATGGACCCTGCTGCCATATTCTTATACCGGCTCTGGGCTGTCCATACCCCCATTTGCTTTTCCCTAATTGTCCCCTACGTTTGGAAGCTACAATAAATGTGCACAACATACCCACCTTACTTTGAACTACAGTTGCAAGAAAAAGTATGTGAACCCTTTGGAATGATATGGATTTCTGCACAAATTGGTCATAAAATGTGATCTGATCGTCATCTAAGTCACAACAATAGACAATCACAGTCTGCTTAAACTAATAACACACAAAGAATGAAATGTTGCCATGTTTTTATTGAACACACCATGTAAACATTCACAGTGCAGGTGGAAAAAGTATGTGAACCCCTAGACTAATGACATCTCCAAGAGCTAATTGGAGTGAGATGTCAGCCAACTGGAGTCCAATCAATGAGATGAGATTGGAGGTGTTGGTTACAGCTGCCCTGCCCTATAAAAACACACACCAGTTCTGGGTTTGCTTTTCACAAGAAGCATTGCCTGATGTGAATGATGCCTCGCACAAAAGAGCTCTCAGAAGACCTACGATTAAGAATTGTTGACTTGCATAAAGCTGGAAAGGGTTATATGCTGTTCATCAGTCCACGGTAAGACAAATTGTCTATAAATGGAGAAAGTTCAGCACTGCTGCTACTCCCCTTAGGAGTGGCCTTCCTGTAAAGATGACTGCAAGAGCACAGCGCAGACTGCTCAATAAGGTGAAGAAGAATCCTAGAGTGTCAGCTGAAGACTTACAAAAGTCACTGGCAAATGCTAACATCCCTGTTGGCGAATCAACAATAAGTAAAACACTAAACAAGAATGGATTTCATGGGAGGATACCACAGAGGAAGCCACTGCTGTCCAAACAAAACATTGCTGCACGTTTACAGTTTGCACAAGAGCACCTGGATGTTCCACAGCAGTACTGGCAAAATATTCTGTGGACAGATGAAACCAAAGTTGAGTTGTTTGGAAGAAACACACAACACTATGTGTGGCGAAAAAAAGGTACAGCACACTAACATCAAACCTCATCCCAACTGTGAAGTATGGTGGTGGGGGCATCATGGTTTGGGGCTGCTTTGCTGCGTCAGGGCCTGGACGATTGCTATCATCGAAGGAAAAATGAATTCCCAAGTTTATCAAGACATTTTGCAGGAGAACTTAAAGCCATCTGTCTACCAGCTGAAGCTCAACAGAAGATGGGTGTTGCAACAGGACAATGACCCAAAGCATAGAAGTAAATCAACAACAGAATGGCTTAAACAGAAGAAAATACGCCTTCTGAAGTGGCCCAGTCAGAGTCCTGACCTCAACCCGATTGAGATGCTGTGGCATGACCTCAAGAAAGCGATTCACACCAGACATCCCAAGAATATTGCTGAACTGAAACAGTTCTGTAAAGAGGAATGGTCAAGAATTACTCCTGACCGTTGTGCACGTCTGATCTGCAACTACAGGAAACGTTTGGTTGAAGTTATTGCTGCCAAAGGAGGTTCAACCAGTTATTAAATCCAAGGGTTCACATACTTTTTCCACCTGCACTGTGAATGTTTACATGGTGTGTTCAATAAAAACATGGCAACATTTCATTCTTTGTGTGTTATTAGTTTAAGCAGACTGTGATTGTCTATTGTTGTGACTTAGATGATGATCAGATCACATTTTATGACCAATTTGTGCAGAAATTCATATCATTCCAAAGGGTTCACATACTTTTTCTTGCAACTGAATAAGCTTTTCCCCTGTTTTACCTGGCCGTTCGTCTAAATTAATTCCCTAAAGTGGTTCCCACCGTTTTGTTCGACAACCGAACAAACTACTGAACAGTAGACCACCCAGATAAGGAGTGTGCTGCTCATTAACACCATTCACACCTCCATAAACCGCAGCCACATGAAAGTTCCAAGCGGTCGGCTAGGTGGTAGCCGTTCGTACAGTCGAACATGTGGTGGCGGCCATCTTGAGACACGAATAAAGGCAGCGGTGTTTGGTCGTCGAGTGCGTGGAACTGAAATCGAACACTCGACGGTGCGAACACCGCTGGGACTTCCACCTCCAGCTAAGTCCGAATAGAAATACACAAACGAGGCGCCGTTCGGTAGAGGTAATCTACCGAACCAGATACACTCACTAACACTATGCACGAACAGCCCCGTTCGACTATTTGAACATTACTTGACTGTTAAAATAGACTGGCCACACAGCCTTATTCTCTAGAACTATTTTAGCCATGAAGCCATGCGTGCAGTCGTTCGAAAAGTGACTTCCAAGGAATTCGTGAACCCCTGCTCTGACCTTGGTGATTTTTGGATATGTTGTTCACCTAGATCAGAGCTACCCAGGAATGTGCCATTTATGGGGATATGTTAAGTTTTTTGGGGTACTTCTGAAACTTTGTAAAAATGTGAGGTTTTCCTGCCTGGGAATAATTGAGTTATTACATTATCTACCTCAGTTATCTACCAGGCAGAGGGGAGGGCTTGTGCATACTGTATGGGAGTGTCTCCATGTACAACTCTGTTTCATTGGCTTGTTAACTTTGTGTCCTTGTGCCCAACAAGGTGACAACCCTTGTTGGGAAAATCACATAAAAGGCAAGTGTGCCTACATTAAAACCAGTTATTCCCCCAGAGCTGAGTGTCGTCCAGTTACTGGGAAGGTGTTGGGAGAATCTTGGCTTACTTTGCTGTGTTTGGCTGTTCTCTTGGAGTAATCTACTTGTTCCTGAGTACATCTTGGAGTAACCAGCAGAGGAGAGTCCCAACTAGGACTAGGGCTCCGCTACAAGGGGTTTTACAAAGTTTACAAATTTGTGCAATGCATTAAATAATATTTATTTCAGGTGTTTTTGTTTGTTTTTTGGAAGTGGGGGAGGGTGTGCCAAACACAGGATCCGTCCCGGGTGCCAAATGTGTGACTTATACAGAAATGTATAAAGAACAAACTCACAAGTGAACAGCCAAACGTAGGACTGGCTCAAATCACAACCACTTTGGTGTATTAAGGTGACACCTTCCC